TTCCCATTGATACTGACATCAATATATCCCAGGGGGCAGGTATAATGACTGGGTTCTTCCTGGGATTCTTCATCTTCTTCTCCATCCTGGTCAATTCCTCCAGAGTTGGTAGATTTGGTGGGGTCTACTGGAATCCTTTTTGGGGTAATATTTTTCTTGAAGGCTTCAACAGTTCCATTAGAAATTTCAAAAATTTCCCCATAGGAAAGTTCCATTTTACCATCCATTAACATCCTGCTGACCACTTTGTCTTCTGCATGTGGAAATTGGCTGGTTAGAGGTCTCTCCACATAGGTCTTCTTAGGGGCTTTTTCCTTGGTAGCTGGTATGGTGGTGCTTTCAGGTTCCTGGATTTGGACTTTCTTTGGTGGGGGATTTTCCTTGGTGGATGAAGGTGGAAGGATTAATGGATTGTAGTCATCCTATCTAGCAATTTCTTGAAGTCTGTCTCTGTCTACATCCATTAGGTCCTCTTTTTCTTTTCTGACCCTTTTGCTAACTGAGGTTTCTTCTGAATATTCCTTTCCACTTCTGGTCCTTTTTACAGCTTCACATTCATAGGTGGATTCCTCTTCTTGGTCAATTTCTTCCAATTTTCCAAAAGAGGTCTGGGGGTCCATGGAAATTTCTGCAGATTTATTAAGGGCTCCTTGAGGTAAGTTGGTAACTCCAGGCTGTTTCTGAGATAGGTGAAAGTGGTCCACAGCTGATTTGAATGCCTTGTTTTTCTGCCATTGAACTTGAGATCCATCTGGTAGGATTACATTGGGTCCATCCTTCTTGAAGAGTCCTTTTAGTTCATCCTCATTGGCCATGTTACATCTATGGAAAGTGTGGCCTAGTCCATGGCAGTAATTACAATTGACAGTACTCCAGTCTTTTTCCAATTGTGTAGGGAACATGGCTTTTGGAAATTAAGGGGTTGGATTTCTGGGTGTGCCAGCTGGCCAAGGTCTTGGTGAGATCTTCCACAGCTTTCTGGTCCTGGGTTTTGGTGGCTGGGGGTTTTGCTGAATTGTTTTGCTCCATTCCTCTCCAGACTTTTCTTCTTTCCATAATAGAGGCAGACTGGACTTCTCTGTGGATATAACTGACTAAGGTTTCAGTATCTGGTAGAATATCCCCACCATCCTTGGAGGCCAACATCATGTTGTCTCTGATGAGTTCCCTGGTGACTGAGGATTCCAAATCTGGGCTGAGGGATTCCAACAAGCATTCTCTGGATTCCTCTAAGTTGGAACTGTATCCCATCCTGACCAAGTAGTGAGTGCTGGCTTCAAATTTGGTCCTAAAGATTTTGAAGTGCTCCAGGGTTTTGATTCCTCCTCCTTTAATGGCAGAATTTACCAGGTGTTTAAGGTCATGTCTGGTGTATTTGACTAGGGGAAGGGAGGATCCAAATCTGTTGAGTAGTTGTTTCTTCAGTTTATCCCAATTAGAGTCTTCATATCCTGACATTTCCTCCACTTCATCCTTTAGGTCCATTCCTTTGATAAAGGGGATAATTTGTTTGGCCAAATCCTGGGGGGTTGCTCCATCTGTTTCACCAGCAGCCTCATATCTCTTGATAAATTTTTCTATGGGCATATTGGTACCATCAAAACAGAGATCCTTATCCAGGGGTTTGATCTTGATGGTCTTTCTTCCTCCAGAGTATTTGGGCATTTCTGGTTCTCTTTCCAGGAAGTGGATGGTGTGGTAAATAATACTGTGTTTCTACGCAGAAAATATAAAAATTTCTTATTATCTCTTTATAAACTAAATATATCATAAAAATAACATCAGAAATGGAATTCTCAGGTAAAATTACCCCTAGTCACCCACTACAACTGACCCCATATCTCTCATGGTTTAGAAGTTACACAGATTTCAACCTGTCACAGGATATCTTTTGGATTCTTTACTCTGAGTATGGCTCATTTTGAATACTGGATGCATATTGAATATTGAATTCCTTTGTGTTGTATTGAATTCCTTTATTGGCACATAGTGCATATTGAATTCCTTTGTAGGTGCACATGCATTCCTTTGCAGTAGGACCTTGTAGGCTAGCCAAATTCCCTCAAGGCAGTGCTCTCACCAGCCAATATCCCTCACCTGCATGTACTAGACTAGCTAAATTCCCTCATTGGATCTTCAGGCCAGCTAAAATGCCTCAAAAGCCTGTACCCTGGGGCTAAATTCCCTCACATTTGTCTATATAAGGAGGCCTCTGCCTGCCAGTTGTTCCCTCCATCATCCCACCAGTGGACCAGATCATCTCAACCACCCTTACAGATTATATACAAGTGACAGCCATAACAATACATTATATTAAAATACAACCATAACAGTTTCATCATCATAACAAGTGCCAAGTGCCCATAACCTGCCTCACATACCATTACTGGTTGAAGCATAGCGCTCCCAGAGCTCCAAGCCTTGGTATTAAAGCTTTGAAAAACAACTCCATCAATATAATCATCACTCATTAACAACTTCAGACCCTTATACACATCACTCGGAAGCTTCATCTTGAACTATCCTCTATCACGATAAATATAACTGCCAAGCTAAGCTTGTGGTCTTGTGTTCTGATAGCATAGAAGGGCAGA